TCTTCGCTGCCTACCCTCCGCGTCTCTGCGCGAGATGCTGCGGCAAAACGAACGACGCTATAGCGGTCAGCGGTTGCCGGCCGTAGCCGCGTTGGCGCTTGTTACGGCCTACGCTTCCGCCATCGGCGTGAGCCGATCACTGACCGCTGATAGCTGACCGCCTTCCCCAAATCGCCCCGTGCGCAGGAAGCACGCCGTCAACTCCGCCGTCTCTTTGGTCCACAAGACGCCAGTGTGCCAGCCGTTCACCGTGCAGTGGTCGGCGGCGCCTTCGAGCAGGGTTTGCTCGGGGTAGAGGACGCGGTCGTTGCTGGCGGCGATCACCCCCACGTCGATCCCCGCCGGCGCCGGGCCGAGACGGTTCACGAAGCTGTCGGGCGCGTCGACGAGTTCGACGAGCGTCGGCGCGATGAACCGGTGCGGCCGCACGATGAAGTTGTCCCACGCCGGATGGCCGCACTCGACCGCCAGCCGCGTCGCCATGTGCGAGCCGCGGTTCGGCGGGGCGATCTGCACGACCCGCCCAAAGTTCGGCGGCAATTCCTCACGCAGCGCGCAGCGGGCGACGATGCCCCCCATGCTGTGGACCACGATGTGGACCCGGTCGTAACTCGGCGCGACCCGACGCAACAGCGCCGCCAGGCGTTTGCCGAACGTCTCGTTCGACCACCACAGCGACGGGTAGCCGGTCAGCCGCGTCGTGAATCCCGCCGAGCGGAGCCGGGCCGCTAGCGGCGCCAGAAAGAACCGCGTCGAAGCGATGCCGTGCGTCAGGACGACCAGCTCGCGCATCGGTTGCGGAGCGGCGGGCGGCGTGGCGTTGGAATCGGCGGGACCGATCATGGCGGCGAAGCTGGCGTGGGGTTGTCTGCTGCTACTTCTATACGCCGGTCACGCACGAATTGACCACAGCAATCGCTCCTATGAGGCTTCACGCCTTTGCGTGAGTCCTCCGGCGACCCGCGTCGCCGGCTCGCCTTTCTCTGCGTCTCTGCGCTAGACCTTTCAGAACTTCGGGCCGAAGTAGCGGATGGCGGCGATACAAATGGCGGCGCCGACCGTCGCGGACACGAGCGTCGCCGGGAAGCCGACCGCTTGGAAGCCGAAGATTCGGAAGACGAAGCCGCCGATGAACGATCCCAAGACGCCCACAAGCATCATGCCCAACACGCCCGCCCGGCCCGCCTCCATGAACCATGTGGCGAGGTAGCCGGCAACGAGGCCGATGAACAGGAACCAGATCAGGCTGAGCATACAGGGCTCTTTGTTTTCCGCGGGGGATTACTGCATCGCCGCGGCGCGGTCGGGGTAGACCGCCATCACCTCGTCGAGCCGCAGCATGTGCATCGCTTCGTGGGGGTGTTCTTGGAGTCCGCTGAGCCGCAGGCGGCCGCCGCCCATTGCAATGCGTTTGTGCAAACGCACCAGTTCGCTCATCAGTGCCGACGAGAAGAACGACACATCGTCCATCTCGAGGACGACCTGCTGGGCGCCGCGGGCGTGGACCTCGTTCCAGAGGCCGTCGGCGAGCCTGAACTGCCCCGGGCCCCCGGGTGGGTGCAGCCGCACGCAGAGCCAGCCGCCGATGTCCTCGAAGGTCGCCCGCCAGCCGTCGAAGAGGTCCACCGTCGAGGCCTCACTCATCGTAACCGCCTAGAGAAGGAACCACAGATGCACACGGATAAACACGGATGCTTTATCGCTGTTGACGCAGTTTAGCCTTGGTCGCGTCAGCAATGCAAAGAGTTGTAGGAGCCTGCAGCAGTATGCAGCTACTCCTTTCAGCTCTTCATCCGTGTCCATCGGTGTTTATCTGTGGTTCCAAAAAAATCACGGCGCCAGAAGGAGGCGGCCCGGGGCGGCGAGGAAGCCCTTCAGTTCGTTGACGAAGCGGGCGGCGTCGGCGCCGTCCACCACGCGGTGGTCGTACGTCAGCGACAGGGGCATCACCAGCCGCGGCTCGATCTTCGCGTCCTTGCCCTTGCCAATCACCCACGGCAGCATGCGGCTGCGGCCGACCAGCAAGATCGCCACTTCGGGCGGATTGATGATGGGCGTCGAGTACGTGCCGCCGACCGCGCCCATGTTGCTGATCGTGAACGTGCCGCCGCGCATCTCGTCGATGGCGAGCGCTCCCTCCCGAGCCTTGTCCACCAAGCGGTCGAGTTCGCGGGTGATCTGCGAGATGCTCAGCCGGTCGGCGTCGCGGATCACCGGCACCACTAGGCCGCGATCGGTGTCGACCGCCACGCCGATGTTGACGTACTCCTTGTAGATCACCTCGCCCGCTTCCATGTCGACCGAGGCGTTGACGATCGGGTGCCGCTTTAGCGCGCCGGCGATCGCCTTGATCAGGAACGGCATCTGCGTGAGCTTGAGGTCCTGGGCGGCGTAGTCTTCTTTGCTCGCCAGGCGGATCTCTTCGAGCTCCGTGACGTCGACGTCGTCGAAGTTCGTCAGCTGCGGGATGGTCGTGTAGCTAGCGACCATGTTCTTGGCGATGGTCTGCCGCATGCGCGACATCCGTTCGCGACGCACGGCGCCCGCGGCGTCGCTGCTGGGCACGCCGGGGCCGCCGCTGGGGGCCGCCGCGCGGGCCTGCTCTTGAGCAGCGCGGACGTGGGCCTGCACGTCGTCCTCGGTGATGCGACCGCCCGAACCGCTGGCTTGAACGCGACGCAAATCGACGCCCAGCTCCCGAGCGAGGCGACGCACCGAGGGGCTTGCCGCGGCCGAGGCGCCTTGGCTCTCGCTCGCGACAGCGGCCGGCGCCGGCTTCGTGGCGGGGGCGACGGGCTTCGGCGCAGGCTCGGCCTTCGGCTGGTGAATGCCATCGGCGAGGTCCTCGGCCTGGGCGTCGCCATCGGCGTCGTCGTTAGCGGGTTGGGGCTCCGCCTTCTTCGCCGTCTCTTGCTTCGGAGCCGGCTTGGGCTCTTCCGCTTTAGCCTCTGCCTTCGGCGCGTCGGGCTTCGGCTCTTCTTCCTGCTTCGGAGCGTCGTCCCCCGCTTCGATCTCGAAGATCGCCGCACCGACCTCGACCGTGTCCCCTTCTTTCACGAGGACCTTGGTGATCTTCCCGGCCGACGGGCTGGGGACCGGGACGGTCGCCTTGTCGGTCTCGATCTCCAGCAGGTCCTGCTCGACGGAGACGGTGTCCCCCTCCGACACGAGGATCGAAAGGATGTCGCCCGACTCGATGTTCTCGCCGAGGCTGGGGAGGGTGATTTCAGATGGCATGGCGACTATTGCTGCTATTGTTGGAACCGCGAATCGACGCGAATTATCGCGAAGAAGATCAATTAGCGTCGATTCGCGTTATTCGCGGTTTCACTTCTTTGAATCAGATTGGGCTACGCGTACAGCGGCGACTTCTTCTCGCGGTCATAGCCGAGGTCGTTGATCGCTTGATCGACGACGCTCGCGTCGAGCTTGCCGTCGCGGCTGAGCTTGTAGAGCGTCGCGATGACGATGCTCTCCTTGTCCACCTCGAAGTGGCGGCGGAGGTTCTCGCGGCTCTCGCTGCGGCCCATGCCGTCGGTCCCGAGGCAGTACATCCCGTTGGGGGCGTACGGCAGGAGCTGCTCCGACAGGGCGCGGAGGTAGTCGCTGGCGGCGATGATCGGGCCCTCGGCGCCGGCCATCTGCTGCTCGAAGAACGAATGCCGACGCGGCGCCGCCGGGTTGAGCATGTTCCAGCGCTCGCACTCTTGCGCGTCGCGACGCAGCTCGGTGTAGCTAGTGACGCTCCAGGCGTCGCTCGACACGCCGTAACGCTCGGCGAGGATATTCTGGGCGTCGAGCGTGCTGTGCAGGATCGAGCCCGAACCGAAGAGCTGCACGTGGTGCTGCTTGTTCTGAGCATCGACACTGCTCACCTTGTGCATGCCGCGGACGATCCCCTCGATGACCGCCGGGTCGGGCTGACCGTCGGCGCCCTTGGGGATCTCCGGCATCATCACGTTTTCGTTCTCGACCATGATGTAGTAGATGCACGTCTCGTTCTCGACGTACATCTTCTGCAGGCCATGGAAGACGATGACGGCCGTCTCGTAGGAATAGGCCGGGTCGTAGGCGCGGACGGTGGGGAACGCGATGGCGTTCACCAGCGAGTGGCCGTCTTGGTGCTGGAGCCCCTCGCCGTTGAGCGTGGTGCGCCCCGCGGTGCCGCCGAGCATGAAGCCCTTGGCCCGCATGTCGGCGGCGGCCCAGATCAGGTCGCCGATGCGTTGGAAGCCGAACATCGAGTAGTAGATGAACATGGGGATCATGTTCACGCCGTGCGAGCTATAGGCGGTGCCCGCGGCGTTGAAGCTGCTCATCGAGCCCGCTTCGGTGATGCCCTCTTCGAGCAGCTGGCCGTCCTTCGCTTCCTTATAGTAAGCGAGTTGATCGGCGTCGACCGGCTCGTACAGCTGGCCGGCGTGGGCGTAAATGCCGATCTGGCGGAACAAGCCCTCCATGCCGAAGGTGCGCGACTCGTCGGGGACGATCGGCACGATCTGCTTGCCGATCTTCTTGTCACGCAGCAGGTCGCTCAGCAGGCGGACGAAGCCCATCGTCGTGGACATCTCCTTGCCGGGCGCTTGGCTGACGAGCTTGTCGAGCGTCTTGCCGTACTCGGCGAGCGTCGGCACCTCCATCGTCACCGGCTGCGTCGAGCGCGCCGGCACCGAGCCGCCCAACGCCTCGCGGCGCTCGCGGAGGTACTTCATCTCGGGGCTGTCCTTCGGCGGCCGGTAGAACGGCGCCTCGGCGACGCGCTCGTCGCTGATCGGGATGCCGAACCGCGTGCGGAACTCGCGGAGCTCTTCCTCGTTGAGCTTCTTGTTGTTGTGGGTCATGTTGCGACCCTCGCCCGCCTCGCCGAGGCCATAGCCCTTGATCGTCTTGGCGATGACGACGGTCGGCTTGCCGTTCTTCTCGGTGACGGCGCGTTGGTAGGCGGCGAAGACCTTCTCGGGGTCGTGACCGCCGCGCTTCATCTTCTCGAGTTTCTTGTCGGCGAAGTTCTTCACGCGCTCGGCGAGCTCGGGGTACTTGCCGAAGAACTTCTCACGGATGTAATCGCCGCCGGCGACGACGTACTTCTGGTACTCGCCGTCAACGACTTCCATCATCCGTCGAGCGAGCAAACCGTCGTGGTCGGCTTCGATCAGCGGGTCCCAGTCGCCGCCCCAGACGACCTTGATGACGTTCCAGCCGGCGCCGCGGAACGCGCCTTCGAGTTCTTGGATGATCTTGCCATTGCCCCGCACCGGCCCGTCGAGCCGCTGGAGGTTGCAGTTGATGACGAAGATCAGGTTCTCAAGGTGCTCACGCGACGCGAGTGTGATCGCGCCGAGCGTCTCGGGCTCGTCGCACTCGCCGTCGCCGAGGAACGCCCAGACGTGCTTCTTCGAGCAGTCCTTGATGCCGCGATCGGTGAGGTACTCGTTGAAACGGGCCTGATAGATCGCCATGATCGGCGCGAGGCCCATCGACACCGTCGGGAACTCCCAGAACTCGGGCATCAGCCACGGGTGCGGGTAGCTGGAGAGCCCGCCCCCTTCGCCCATCTCGCGGCGGAAATTGACGAGGTTCTGCTCGGTGAGCCGGCCTTCGAGGAAGGCGCGGCTGTACATGCCCGGGGCGGCGTGGCCTTGGTAGTAGACTTGGTCGCCCGAGAAGCCGTCCTCGCCGCGGCCCTTGATGAAGTGGTTCAGCGCGACTTCGTACAGCGTTGCCGAACTGGCGAACGTGCTGATGTGACCGCCCGGCGAAGCGGGGTCGCGGTTGGCGCGGGTGACCATCGCCATCGCGTTCCAGCGGACATAGCTCTTGATGCGCCGCTCGAGCTCACGGTCGCCCGGGTAAGCGGGCTGATCCGTCCGGGGGATCGTGTTGACGTAAGGCGTCGTCGCCGTGAACGGCAACTCGACGCCGCTCCGCACCGCGGCCGACTCGAGCGCAGCGAGCAGTTCTTGCGCGCGCTCGGGGCCACGGTTCTCCAGGACATACTCGAGCGATTCGAGCCATTCGCTCGTTTCGACCGGGTCCACGTCGTTAGGAATCGGCGAGGCGGGAACTTTGGCGTTGGCGCTGGCCATAGGAGTACCTAGGTCGGATTAACCACAGAGCTCATCGAATGCCCAATGACCAAATCCCAATGACCAATGCAGC